AGCTACTAAAAAAAATAGGACATACATGTTTATAATGTTCATATCATAATAATTTCATAAGGTGACGTCCAATATTATATAACCATACATGATTAATACGTATCAAGTTCATCAAAAGTATCAACCATGCAACATAGCTAGTCTATCCATGATCCATACAGTTCCAGCATACTTACTGGTTGCTTGCCACCACAGACTTAGAAAAGTCCACAAATTCAATATCAGCATCATCTTCTTCCTGTAAAATAATCCATAAATCAACATTTAAGTACCACAACAATTATAAAATCAAAATTCATATGAAACAGCTGAAAATAAGGATTATATATTAATGGAATAGGTGTACACTTCTAGGTCAGCATCATCATCATCTGGATTCATTGTCGTGGGTTGATAGGCCTCAGCTCGTTTGAGCTCGCGAGCTGGCTCGTTAAAACAATGAAGCTAGACTTACAAATCAGCTCATGAAAAAGTTAAAATGAGCTGTTTTGAGCCGAAAAGGCGGAAACACGAGTTGACGAGCCACGAGTATTTTGTCGAGACACGCATACAACCGTACACATGGCAGGTAGTAAAATTAAATAAGCAATTGAAACACAGGAGGAACAGCAGCAAGTTAGGAGCTTACGACGGTGTCGATTGCACAGCAAGGGCGTCGAATTCTCCGCAAGTAATATATATGTGTGAAGGAATACTGATAAAAGAGGAAGTGTTGGCGGTGTGTCATGGAAGAGCAGTGCTGGTTGTTTGGCTGGTAAATTATGAGCACGTACCCTTTTTTGCTCCGGGGGCTATAACGGACGTACGCCTTTTGCGGCTTTCAGTGGCACTGAACGACCCTGGGCGTGGCATATGTATTGCAAAGAAATAACAGAGATTGGTCAATATCACATACGTGGTCTGTGCTGGCATAGCTTGACGAATTTTACTGACTATAGGAAGAATCATCCTACTGATTGTAAAAAAAATATTTGACAGGTCATAGAAGAAGCAGGCAGTAGTCTCGGCATGGTTTGCAAAAATGTGAAACTTGACATCACAGACAGGAAAGCATTAGATATGATATACATAGAAGTAGGCAACATCACAGGGGACTAAATATTAAATTCTAGAATCACCTAGCCGGTCGCCTGACCAGGCGTGTTTGTGAGACTGCCATTCTCGAATCCGAAGGTGACATAGAGGAAGCGTCACAACGTAGTTGTCCGCTGGTATGTCCGGCTATATCAGAAAGGGAAATTAATGAATGCCTCTGTATATGCCTATGAAGGCAAACACTGAATCAGCAAAGCAAATGGAAGTAGCAGCGTTGAGAACGACAACATTACCTATATGTGGCTCATCAACATGAGCAGGCCCACGCTTACGGCCTTTAACCATAACTGAAGGAACTACGCCACCGGTAGTGGGAGGGCGACGAACAGCACAGTAAGCAGATTGATAGAGTGTTTGAAATAGCAGGCTGTTCTCACAGCTAGTGGATGAAGAGACCTATTAAACTCTGCATGTTTCTTTGATGGAACAGTAAACATATTTCCGTTCGAATCATTTTCATCTCTGATATGGCCTCCAACAGCGCAGACCCTGTACATAGTGCATGCAAATGACATTTGCATATCAATACTAAGAGTACTATAGAAGGTAGCATCAAACTCTTTGAATGAAACCTGTACTGCCTAATTAGAACAGATGTAAAATAAATTCAAACTCTGCATCCCTGTAAGCCCGTATCTCTTTGCCGATTAAAATTGGACTTCTTCAAGGATCAGTTTTAAGCCTGTATCTCTTTGCTTTGGTAATCCCTTGGTGTATGTTGTTCGCTGATCATGTAGTGTTAGTGGACGAAAGCCAAGCGGGAGTAAATAGAAAATTAGAGTTATGGCGGCAGCAAGCGGGAGTAAATAGAAAATTAGAGTTATGGCGGCAGACCCTTAAGTCTAAAGGTTTTAGATTGAGCAAAACTAAAACCGAATACATGAGATGCGACTTTGGCGGAGTTGTACAGGAGGAGAAAGATGTGAGTTTAGAAGATCAAGTAGTGCCTAAGAAGGATACCTTTCGGTATCTGGGATCGATGCTAAAGAGGGATTGAGATATTGATACGGACGTTAGCCATAAAATCAAAGCAGGCTAGATAAGTGACGATAAGCTTATGACATTCTATGTGACAAGAGGGTACCACAAAAAGTAAAAGGCAAGTTTTATAGAACGACGATTAAACCGGCTATGTTATATGGAGCATAATGTTGACCTATAAAGATTCGACATATTCAACGACTACGTGTTGTAGAATGTTAACCTATAAAGATTTGACATGCTGAACGACCGAGTGTTCGTATGTTCTGAGCACCTGCACGGCGGCGGAGAGCGAGAGCGGAGAACCCATGCCTCCTTCACGGGAACGTGCTAGTAATACACTAATACTACGCGTTGGTCAATTGTCGTCGATAAGGCCGCACACAGGAAACCGGGAGCGGAAGAAAGAATCACCACGCTCCATCGAGTTTTATCTGCATCGTGTAGCTATTGCGACATCCATCGAGCAGACGATGGAAAAGTCTTGCACAGGATCCCCTCACAACCACCAACTTGTTTCGGGAGGACAAAGCTGCGTCCGTCCAGAACATGAAAAGGCATGGAAAACCAAGGCACAGAGGATGTAACTATCTGAAAGATAAGATCAGTTCCACAACGACATGCGCCGCAGAGTCTGCACGGCATCGACGAGACCGGCCGTTCCAGCTTTGAAGGCTAGTCAGACACCCAGACCACCCTCCACTGACCCAGGCGCTCAGGCAGTAACAGTGACCCAGTGGCGGCCACTCGATGCGAAAACCACGAGTCGGCAGTAGGTGAGTTGGAAGCCTATTCAGAACCACACGGTCCAACATGACATGGGAAATGATTGCCAGGGAACCAAATTTCCACGAGGATTCTTTTTTATGGACCACGAACGCACGAATCAGGAGCATACAAAACAGCAAACCAACACATGCGGAAAGAAAGTTCAGCTCGTGAAAATGAAACGGTACTAATTTGTAACGCAGCATGCCTGAACAAATGTAGCAGCTCAAAACAGACAACAAGCGTCAGACGCAAACTACAAATACCCCATTACTACTTTGACAGAATTTTCACTCTGATTCTGATTCTGACTGGCAAGCAGGGAGGTAGTAGGTATCCAGTTGCCAGTATTTCTGCTTCACGCCCTTCCAAACTTCTTCCGCCAGGCAATCTTTGACCGGCAAAGGGATGAACTGCGTCGAATACCCCAGATTGGCTAGCTCTAACGCGACAAGCTGGCAGTACACGGCGTGGAAGAACGCATTGTCACCGCAGAGGCCATTGAAGTATGAGTAGATGCCTCCGGCTTCAGTAGCTTAGGAAGGTGTTGGTGGAACTCTCTCATGTCCTCGTAGTATTCCCCTGTATGTGTCAAAAAAATATGCCTGCATATGTAAGAAAACAATGGCATTAGAGAAGATTTCCCTACTATGGTTTTCATGGCTGTACTCGAGGAAAGTCAAGCTATTTTATGGTAGTATCCATTCTGAGCGTGAATTCATATTCATCTCTGACGGTAAATAGATGATAACTTTTGCTTGATTATAAAATCAAAAGGAAATGGTTATCGCATTGACAGTTAGTTAGTTACATATCAATTTCAGTTATCATAACAAATACTATAACATAGTTGGTTGCAGGTTCCTTTCTTCCTTCCCTTTGATATTTTCAAAGATAAAAACTAGGTAAATGGTCTATGTGCAGTTCAAAGTATCAGAGATGGCAAACTGCACATGGTTTGAAATATCCGAAACTAGATTCATAGAGGACATATGTGCTCATAATTCAACAACTTATCCACAGAGGATGGTGACTAGGGTTTGAAATCAATCAATTGTCATGCACTGGCCTACTTCTATTTGAACATATATTATTCATCACTCAAGTTACCATAACAATAATTGACAAGCAAGATTGACATCTTCCATGACGTTGTTATCTATGCTCATAAACGAAGTATAAAAAACATGATGTTGAAATATGCATCAACAGCGTTAGAATGAACTCAAGAAGATGCAAATCACTTATTTAGAACAGGTCTGCTACACTAAAACAAATAAATCACTGTATGACACTTGAAGAAAGGATTAAAAACACAGTGAAGACAAAGGGTTTTGCTTATAAGGAATGCTTGGGTGTTGACGGGTTCTGTTGTTTGGTAGGGAGCAATGCTGGTCCAGGTGCTTGTGCTCTTAATATAAGAAGAGCAACAAGGAAAAAGGAGGAGAAAGAGACATGGAGAAAGCAAAGTAATATAAATAGACAGATTTCCAGGTTCTGTTTTCACAGTTTCCCATTGCATGTGGACTAAAATGTACACACATCACATTTGTTTATAAGTATTGCAGTGTCTTCTAAGTTCCTAAGTTTTCTCAACTACCAATTGCAGTGTTTTTGTATTCTTTTTCGCATTTATGCATTCTAAAGAGGCCTTATGGCCTAAACACTAACCAACTGTTCTTATTTGGACTAGCACAACCACCACCACGACCACCGTGCCCAAAAAAATGGTTACTTCAATGGATGAAGAAAGATGCCCAAAAAATAAGAGTAAGATTACTAAAATAAACAAAGGTTCACCTTTTAAATAAGTTTCATCAAAAGAAAACAGTAGCTCTGTGCATACTGTTGCAAATTACCCCACCTGAGTGAAGCTAAACAAGGTTTCCAAGTGCCACACAGAGCCATGAAACGGCTGTTTGCAACATAATACTCATGTGGTAAGCACTTCTATAGACGCCTTCCAATGTAAACATGTATTCAGAAACTATCTAGACGCACACTTTTCCTGACAAAAGGTCCAAAATTACCTACTCCGAAAACTTTTAGAAGCACTAGCTTGAAAACTTTGAATATACTCCCTCCAGTCAATAATAGCTGATGTTTGTGAGATTCTGGAAAAGTGCACCAATACTTGTCAGTGGATAAAATTTGGCCTAATTAAACGTATCATATCCATTCATGCCCTGCATCCCTATGAGATCCATGTCCCGTCCTGTGACAGCCACCATCTCCACGGCTGACAGCGGCAGTCCCTCTCCTCCGAACATGCTCCTCTCAGTATCCTCAGGTACAGCTCGGAATGAGCAGTAGTTGGCTAGCGCAACATCTGGGGTTCACACAAAGATTGCCTGGATGAGGCCACTTGTGGAGACACAGCTGAATATTGTCACCCAGAATGTCCTGCTTCCATCTCAGGTACAAGCTTACTGGTGAAAGTCCTTATCTTGAGCATCCCACTCTCCACTCATTCATCTTTCCTCCTTTCCTTTCAGATCTGAGGTCCAGCCGTGATGGAGGTCCGAGCTTCTGTGAGGGCATCGATGGAGGCCAAGGAGTTCTTAACGGTGGTGAAGCATGCTGTACTCTGATGGACTAGGTGAGGAACATGAGAGTCATCCAGACAGGATCCATGGTCTCCGCAATTCACTCTCTCAAATCAATGTTAGATGGCCATCCCTTTGGCTGAGCACAACAGCATCAGCGGATGAGGTGAACACTGGGAACCAGCGACATTAGTGGATGCGGTCACTGGGCAGTGGGCACCAGTACTGGTGGAGTCCTGCCGGTGGATGGCGGGAACAGCGATGTGAGAAGTCACATTCAACGGGGAAGAACAGGGAGAGTAATTGAGGAATGGTCAGACGGGGAAGCACCAGAACCAACTGGAAAACTAAAGTATCATCTTTGATACTAATAAGCATCAGCATAAGCTTCTTTATCATTCATTGAAAACAATGAATCTTAACATGACCAAATCCTATGTCATTCTACAGAACATTACTCCAGAAAGGCCACAGACACAGAGAAAATTATTGTTAGATACTACCAACTTCTTCATGCTCCTGAATTCCTGCTAGAGCATGCCAAGGATAATGCAACCTATGGAAATTTCACCTGAGACATACTCCAGAAATTTCCTATCTTCAGCTTTTGCCCAACTTCTCCATACTCCTGAATCCCTACTAGGCATACCATGGATAATGCAACCTATGAAATTTCACTTGAGAGACACTCCCAAAAATTTTCTATCCTTCAGCTTTTGCACAACTTCTCCATACTCCAGAATACCTACTAGGGCATGGCGGCATGCCAAGGATAATGCAAACCTACGGAAATTTCACCTAAGACACCTAGAACTAGGACATTCCACAACAGAAAACTTACCCCCAGTCCCCAGACAAGAAAGCATTTATCATTGCAACATCGATGACCAAACATGACAACACTGAAATGAATAAGCAAAGGTAGAAGATATGTTATACCGTCATAAGATCCGAGCTGCGGCATCACGTCCTGCCATCGGCCGAACACGATTCTGACGTTCTTCTTCTCGCCCCACCCGAGCTTGAGCATCCGTTCGTACACCTCTGGGTGGGCCTCGACGATGGTGTGCTCCTCGGGCTCGTACCTCTGTATCGCCTCGTCCACCAGCCCCATCCCGAACCCCACGTTGAGCACCTTGCCACCGCCTTGGCACACCGCCCGCGCGTGCGCCTCCATCAGCGGCCGCTCCCACGCCATCATCACTGCCTTGCTCTCCGCGTCCATCACCCTCTCCTCGCTGAACGAGACCCTGGATTCGAGGTAGCTCTCGGCCGGGGCACCGTCCGAGGCGTTCGCGGGGACCGCTTGCCGCCGCGCGACGGTGCCAAGGACGAGCTCGGAGCGGAGGGCGTGGTCGAGGAGGATGTCGTAGGTGTCGGGGTCCGAGGCTAGGTCCCCTGCTGAGAGGCCCGAGGGGGAGAGCGCGTTCCAGGGCGCACCGCAGTCGAGGAGGAGGCGCGCAACGCCGGCGTGCCCCCCCGCGGCCGCGTGCATGAGCGGGGTCAAGCCGTCGGCATCGAAGTGGGTCGCGTCAGTTCCTGAGGCAAGGAGTTTAGCGACTTCCTCCTCTTCACCGGACTTCGCCGCCGCGCAGAGCAGCTCCTCCGGCGCCGCCGCCATTTTTTGGGTCGAGCAGTGGTCAGTGGAGTCTCCCTTTTTCTCGCTTTCTGAGGTTTTAGCTCACCAGCATTGGGCCTTATGATTTCTCATTAAACCAATGTCGGCCCAATCAGTTCACCAGGTTTAAAGCCCATATGCCTCTCTGCCTTGACTTCGAGGTCACTCCACGAAACGGACGGGATCGCAGTCGCCCAGTCGCACCTGTTCCTCTCTTCGATTTGGCGGTAGCTTCGTAGCGCCGCTCAGTCGCCGCCGATCACCTTCGCCTCGCCTGTGTGTCCGGAGTCAGCGAGGTCTCGACTGGCTACGCTTAGCAATAGTCTCGGTCACTGCGGTCTCGGTGGGTGCCAGAAGAGAAATGGGTGACTTTCACCACACTTGGTTGAAGGCACGCAAAGTGTTTGTAAGAATGCTTAGCAGTGAAGGCGGGGCCAGCGTGGGCTGTGATACCCTGCTGGACGCCTCGGACCTCGCCAAGCGCCTCTGCAAGCTCATCATCTCCTGCCGGAAGGCCTCGGCCCTCGAGCACGAGCTCGACCACAGCGGCATCCGCGTCACGCCCGAGGTCGCGGAGCGCGTCCTTGAGCGCCTCGACAACGCCGGCATGCTCGCATACCGCTTCTTCGAGTGGACGCGCAGGCAGAAGCGCGGCGGGTGTGCCCATACCGTGCGTTCCTACCACACGGTGGTCGTGTCCCTAGCCAAGATCAGGCAGTACCAACTCATGTGGGACGTCGTGGCCGTCATGCGCAAGGAGGGTGCGGCCAATGTTGAAACGTTCGGCATCATCATGCGCAAATATGCCCGGGCGCAGAAGTTCGATGAGGCAGTTTACACGTTCAACATCATGGAGAGGTATGGTGTTGCCCACAACCTCGCTGCCTTCAACAGCTTGCTTGGTGCACTGTGCAAGTCTAAGAACGTGCGCAAGGCGCAGGAGATCTTTGACAAGATGAATAATCGGTTCAGTCCTGATGCCAAGACCTATAGCATCTTGCTTGAGGGTTGGGGGGAGAGCACCCAACCTCCCAAAGATGCGGGAGGTTTACAGCGATATGCTTGCCGCTGGTTGCCAACCTGACATTGTCACATATGGTATCATGGTCGATGCACTCTGCAAGACAGGCCGAGTCGAAGAGGCTGTCTGTGTCGTGCAGGACATGAGCTCCAGGGGATGCCAGCCGACAACCTTCATATACAGCGTCTTAGTGCATACTTATGGAGTTGATATGAGGATTGAGGATGCTGTTGCAACATTTTTGGATATGGAGAAGGATGGGATTGTGCCTGATGTTGTTGTGTACAATGCGCTCGTCACTGCCTTCTGCAAAGTGAAAAAGTTTGACAATGCCTTCAGAGTCATGGATGACATGGAAGGCCATGGAATTTCCCCCCAATTCAAGGACCTGGAACATCATCCTAAATACTTTGATTAGCCTTGGAAAGGATGATGAGGCATATAGGGTCTTCCGCAGCATGATTAAGCGCTGCAAACCAGACTCTGATACTTACACCATGATGATAAAGATGTTCTGTGAGAATGATAAGATAGAGATGGCACTGAAGGTATGGAAGTATATGCGGTTGAAGCAGTTCTTGCCGAGCATGCACACATTCTCCGTGCTGATCAATGGTCTCTGTGACAAGGGGTGACGTTAGCCAAGCTTGTGTCCTGCTTGAAGATATGATAGAGAAGGGCATTAGACCTCCTGGTTCAACTTTTGGCAAACTGAGGCAGCTACTTTTGAAAGAAGGAAGGAAGGATGTGCTTGACTTTCTTGTCGAGAAAATGAAGATCCTCATTCAAGAACCTTTGTTTGATTGACCCTTCACTTCTCCATTGGTATGAATGCTTACTCCTGTCATCTATTTGGATACACGTGGTTAATATGGGGTAGATTCTCCAAATGCCTTCTCTTGTTTCTTCATTCTTAATTTGCAGTGCTATTTATGAATTATATCTGAGTTTCTGTTGCTGGTTCATGTGCCACTCCAGCTGCTGAGCATATGCAGTTATCATTTAGGCTTTATGAATAGATGCTCCCAGTTGAAGGATCAATGGATGCCCAACCAAGCCATGGCTGTGTTATTAACGTCTCACTCAATCATTACTACTATCAATTATCAAACATCTCATGGCCAAAATGCTGAACTGCTGATATATTTGCTCACCGGAAACTTTTGTGTTGTAAGGCTCAGACTTGAGTCCTCCAAAAGCAATGAACTACATGTGGTCAATGGATCAAGAGGAGCTGTTCAGCGCAAGAATCCTACAAGGACCGGTGTCAGTCACAAGTGTCCATGTTCTGAACTCGAGAACTTTGTGCCGAACTGCCAATTTGTTCAGGCACAAGTCACTGCTATATAGAAATTGGTACTGGTCTGAGCATTTGATCTATGAAAAGGGGCACCACATTTCTTGAGGATTTAAAACGATGGCTGGAATTGCTCTTACCTGCACTACAGCTAGCTCCATGCTTTCCTCCCGAAAGGATAAGTTGTGACGTTCAAGAAGAATACCAAGGAAATTACTGAGCTCAAGAAGGTAACATAAACGACTTGCTAATATTTTTTCCCTGATGAACTGTATTTTTCCTGTTACATGTGACAGACTATCTTTTTTTCTTCTCTTTTGTCAAACCAGTTGGCATTGCCCTGTGCCCCTGTGTGAAGCTACATAACAGGCATGAAAAGGTGAATAACGCTTTGGTGTCGTACAAGTAGCCAAGTAGTTGATCTTAGACTCTTAGCATTAGCTGTGCAGCTACCGAGTGGCCTTGTATCTCTGTACTTATGTTATAGAATTTGACAGCTCTTTCGGTCCAGTAGGGTTGTACATCATATAGCTATATTAAATTCAGAGGATGTGAAGATGCTATTTCAATTCACAGGATTGGAGAATCACCTTTTTCGCAAATTGTGTGCAGTCCATCTATTTCAGTTCTGACAATGAGTAACTCTATGATATTGTGGTCATTAAACAGAATTAATGTTACAATCCTCTTCTCAGAAAGTACCTCTGCTACAGTAGCACTCACTCCAAGACAAAATAGTGGTAAAAAACAGGGAAGGCAGTCAGCACAAAAGACTATAATACCATAAATAGTTGCAGATACAAAAGAAAACTGGAAATTAGTGGAAATAATCCAGTTATTTCAGATTAACTGGTAGGAGATCAGATGGTGGGAAGTGTGGGTGTACACTCCCAGAACCTAAGTTGAAGTCCTCTTCAACTCAAATTTGGGTGCCTCTTTCCTCTTTTTTACAATGAGGTGTCTTTTTTCACAATAACTGGGTGCAGAAAGTAAGGAAAGCAGGAGTCACTCGTGTAATTGGTAAGATAGCTAGGATGCTCCTAAATGTAATTTTTTTTGCATTCCTTCTTTGTTGCTGTGTGTATGTTTAAATTTAACAAAAATGCACGGCTAAATAAGGAAACTGGGGAAAAAGCAATCGAACATAGGTATGATAACTAGGATGCTCCTAAATGTAATTTTCTTTGCACTCCGTATTTGTTGCATCTGAATATGCATTTCTATGTATATGTCTTAAATTTAACGAAATGCACTGCTAAATAAGAAACTGCAAAAAAAAAGCAACCGGACATAAAAAGTTGTGTTTAATAAGTATTAACTTGCAAGAGTGCATAGCACGCTCCTGCATTTCCCAGGAATTAGAAATGATTCAATGTGTGCTCTTAACGCTCAGATATTTAAATCATTTGTAACAAAAGATGATGTTGATGAACATTAGAAAACATAAACCCAGAAGTAAGGAAACCGTCCACTGTGTATTGTCATGCTTAAATCCACAACCAGTTCAAGCTCCAACCAACATTCTATGCCTGAAACTTTCTTTTTAGTTAAGAGTGTGATGAGCTTACCTCCAATAGTAGCACCAACCATGGCTATTGCGAACAGCAAAGGCATGTTAGGGAGAGAGTATTCTTGCTCACATGGTTCTGCTATACAACTGGGTGGTAGAACATATATGGTACAACTACTGAGAAGACATGCTTTGCTAAAGGAGGAAAATACAACTTCCTGCATATCATTATAGCTAGGTTCCCGTAACAAAGTTTTCTAGGAATTAAATTTAAGCTGTGTTCAATAAGACAGTATTAGGTTAGTTTAAATTGTTAGGAAAAGTTAAGTCTCCTTAAGCCTCAAATCAAAGGGTTGTGTTATCAGATGATACATGCTAAAATAGAGCAAGGGACTCACCATCATACCTGAAGATCAGATACGGACTTCATGAGATCATGTCCATATACACTAGCTGCATGGATGCCATCATCATTCCTAGAATCGGTGTGAATTGTGATCAGTCAGTGATGGGGCACGCCGAGCCGCAGAACACTTACTAGTTACTAGGACAGGACAGACTTGCAGTGCTGCAACTAGTAAAGGGAGAAGAAATGATTGTTCTGCATGTCAAAAGTGAATTAGTTACCTAAAGTAAATTTTTGCATCACATTGTGTAAGTATTGCAATGACTTTGTCAGAAAGATGAATTATAAATTTGGTTAATCATGATCAGTAGTGACATCACATTCTAGAAAAAAAACACAAAAATGAGCAGTAACTTACACATTCTTAATACTATCAAATACTTCATTAAATTGACCAACATAATTGTGGTGTTAACTTTTTTTTTGTTGCGAACAAATTGTGGTGTTAACTAAACAGGTGTCAAGATAAATTCATCCAATAGAATCCATATTAACTTAACAATGTGATCCTATGGAAATAATACATGCATTGCAAGGAAATGACAACAAAAAGGTGAAAATTTTCTTTCCCAGTTTTGAGGCAGAACCACAAAGCAAGGGTGAAACATTAAAGATCAAATGGCAACACTCTTCTAGCAAGCAAAGACTTTACAAACTTAAAGTGGGCGATTTTGTTACAAAAGCTCTCACTCTAAGCGCAGAGATACACGCTGCCACGTTCAAAGAAACGGAGACATGTGGACCTGATAGAAGCAAGTTTTAGAATGGAGGCTACTCAAAGGTCAAAGCTGTATTTCTCTTTTAAGCCCCCCACCCCCAACACACACACAAACACTAAAAGCCAGGCTAATAGTAGAGCGGGCTGATGGGTGTAAGAATCTTTGCAGTTTACCTCTCAGCCTGCTTATATAATAGTTAGCTTTTCACTATTAATTCTAGCCCCACTCATCTCTTTCATAGAGTTTCTCGGTTCTTGTGTCTAAACCGGCTGCTCCTCTCTACTCCACCTCAGCATTCAGCCTGCTTATAGGCTATTATTATACTTGTTCTAACAAAAGCACCTAGCTAAACATTAGCACAGTTATTACCGAAGTCAAGCAACACCTCTTAGGATAATACTGCCCTCCTCTCTGACATCACAAGAAAAGGGCAAAAAAAAAAAAGGCTGCTGCACTAGTTAATCGTCGACGTGTTTAACAACAGGGCCTCTATGACAGTAAATTATCACCACTAACAAAAGGCTATGGAGAAAAGGAACTGGATGCCAAAAGTCACTTAAACACATGAACTGTCCGGGGCTTAGATATTACATCCTAATTTAAGCCCTGGACAGTTCATGTTTCGGCAATGCTAGTGCTTGAACGTCCGGACGGACGCACGCGCGCTGCACTCCGTTTTGCGCAATCTGCGTGGGGCCCGCATGCCCGAGCGATAAGAGGGGAAGGACTCAACCGCGACATTGTATGGATGCCCTGCCAGCGCCGGGAGGAGAACACACCGAGACGATGCAACAGAAGGATAGGAGGAGAGATGCAGCACCCGATTTGCTTTTGAAACATACAAATACAATAGTTGCAACATACGTCTGAAGGCAGATGAAATACTTAAAACATGCTTGTGAAACACTTGAAAAAAACACCTAAAAACACTTGAAAACCATTGCAACCATACGGAACATCCAGATAAAACGCATGCAACGTATGTGTGAAACATATGGAACATCCATATAAAACACACTTGCAACATGCGTCCAGAAAACACAGATGAAACATTGGTAATAGACATTTGCAACATACGTGTACAACCATTGCAACATATGCAACATTATGATCTACTTTTGCAACATCCATTTGGAACACTTACAACATACCTCTGAAACACTCGAAATATACGCTTGCAACATATGCTTTCAGGATCTCGGCTGTGCGGTCGCGATGGAGGAGGATGGCAGCGGGCGAGCGACTGTGAGGGCCCCGGCGATAGGGCGCACGCAGTGCCCACGGTGGAGGCGACAACAACAGTCGGGTTATGCGGCCTCGCGCGGCGGTGCAGGCATGACGGCGTTGGAGAGGAAGGCCGACGGGAAGCGCGGTAGAGAGGGAGGCGTGCGGGAGCCACGGCGGAGCCGGTCACGGAGCGGATACGTGAATATTTTTTTTAATCTACGGTGACCGAAGGGGAGCGGATAGAAACGGCAGCTTCTAAACGTCGGGTACACCAACCGGGACGTCTAGCGCGGATGGACATCTGACTTCCAGCATTACCGTTCATGTTTACGTCTTTTCTCCAGCGGAAGCGTAAACAAAGTGAGCACGAAGAATCACGGCTGAAGCCACTGTTCTTCACATCATGGATCAGTGCAGGTCAATTTCACCCTTTTCTCCATGATTCTAGGCCAGAAGATTAATAAAAATAAATAAATTTGGAAACTAAACCTGGCAACCTGTGACAACTATAGTAGAATACATCAAACGTTCCCAATTGGAAAAATGCAAGCGCTTACAAAAGCAAACTATGCCATCTGAATGCCAATGCCACCATAAAATGCATGTAGTGGATAGCCGGACTTGAAGAAATACTAGTGACATAACTTAGCAGCACAGCATGCATAACTGGAATATGTTACAAATACATGCAGTAACTGAGTAAACTACAACTTGCATTACATTACTTTGACAATGTCAAACCACGTTTCGTGAACTCTGCAAAACATCCCTAGTTGTACAACAGCGTAGAATAATAAAACCTAGAGCCTAGCATTTCCTCTCTACACAAACAAGGAAATCTCTGGTGGTTGGACAAAGGAGAAGATGGCTTCACCGAAGACCTCAAACAGAGACCCCAAGAGATGACCGGTGTCCTGATCCTCCTTCCAAGCTTGCCTAAGAACTGCAGAAACTCTCTGAGCGAGATCACTGCCCTGATCTCTCCGGATGGCAGCTGATGGGATGCTCTCCACCATCTGCCCGGAGGACGAGGCCTGCATCATGCCAGGGTTGGCTAACTGGTTGGAAAAGCCATCCATGGCACCTTGCATGTTTCCTCCCTTGGAAGCTGAGGCCATGGAGTTGGCTGTTGCGTCTGTTGCCATCTTCTTCAGAGGTGGCTGAGTTGCAGAGAGATCTGTGCTAGATTTTCGCTTATCTGAAATTTGCAGTGCAACATACTCTTTACTTTCAAAGTCTACTAATTCAACTGCTGACAGCAAGGACCATTTGGCACTTAATTGCCAGTCAACATGTGTCTAGTGGCATATATTCAACTAATAGTGTGCTTATATTCAACACTTACTTGGGTTGTTGGTTAAGACCCTTTTGTTGCTCCGTAAAAGAGGTCGCTCCGATGGAGAAAGCAAACCAGGAAATAATTTCAACCGATCATACAAGCATTTGCCTGCAGCACACTAAAAAATGCATTCCACTGGTAAGAAACTTAGCTTGGTATTAGTTGGTGAACCAAAATACAGTAAACATTATATTGACTGAGGACTCTAAACTGACCAGCAAGGCACCATAAACACGCCAAGCTTCCTTCCTTTTCATCTCGTTTTTCTGCTTCTCAAGCTGCAGTTCCGGCTCCAGAAGTTGCATATATGTCACAAGGTTGGGCAAAAGAAGAAGTCTAATCTGGTAAGCAGAAAAAACAATCAGCCAGTGCATAACTAATAAAAAAAAAATGAGTTTCAAATGGGATCTACCGCGCGCTGGGCCCCAATGCAGATATCCCTTGAACAGCACCGTAATGTTGTGTCAGTGATTTGGCAGGATCAAGAAATGCATGGATCAATGTTTTAGTTAGCCGATTTTGAAGGTTGTGATAGACATGACCAAACCTGAAAACCATCATCTTCAGTTGATCAACAATGTCATGAGAAAATTATATAGGCAGTTAGCCAATTACTACATACAGAAAAGACCAATTAGCAAAGAGAGCTAGAGATCATCATTCAGAAAAGGACTCGCGCTCCATGAGCAGAGTATGCAAAAGGCTATGGATCTATCAATTCCAAAAGAAAATGGATTTATGGGGAACACATAAGACACGGACAAGTCATGACCCACCCAACAAATGCATGAAGACAGAACTAAAATAAATCCTCTGTCCACACACAGCATATATAGTGAAAATATTTATTTACCAGTTGGTCTCTAAAAGGAACACAATATGTAGTCTACTCAGTAGCAAAGCGATGCAATGGTTTATTGGTATGTTTTCCGCTAAAGAAGATGTAAGCTGCCATGAAACTGATCATGTCACATATAACATGATCCCACAAAATAGTAAAATCTTGTATATATGGAAGAAAGAGTATGAAATGGTGGTCAAACTATTATTGACTTGATCTTCAACTTAAAACTGTCTAGCATATTAGCATAACTAAGATAAAGCACTTTCATGGGCACATTTTTTATGAACTGTTCTTTAAGATCATAATATGGGAATCAAGGAGTTGAAATCATAAATGTAATTGAATTAAATTTTGATAATTATACACAGGACCTACTGACACCCTTCACATATCACTCACCTCCGACATACCGAGGCAACCAAATTGGCAGAGAAGTCTCTAAGTTCCCAGTGGTCATCTGAGAGCCTATGCCCTAGCCTTTTTGCAACAATGCAAGTGATCATTGATGGCATTAGCTGGTGCAACTACAAATCAAGACAAATATTGCTAATTTAGGACTAATATGATGAAAAGAATATACAAAATGACTAAAAACAAGCCACACACATGAACTATCAAAACTTTATGGTTTACCACTTACATAAGGTTCAATATGAATATGTGGATTACGGAGAAGACTTTGGACTACTCTCATTAGAGCAAATAAAACAGGAAGATCACCCAAACTCCGGGTAACCTGAAAGTCGGATGGATACACACTTTAAGTAATGCCATCTCAAAAAAATAAAACCAAAAGCAAGAAAGGTATGTACAACCTCGTCTACAATGAAGTAGGAAAAGTAAGGAACCAAAGGATGAAGACCAGAATCTTTTGCCAAGCTCACTAAAGCTTCTTTAAAAAGGGACGTATCAGATCTACTCATAGTAAGCTCAGCTATTTTATCAAAGTACATCTGCAAAACCAAACAGTTAAGAGGTATATAAGTTTCTTGGATATATGAGTAATATACAATGCACGGAATCATAATCAAAGTACCTGTAGTTCTCTAGATAATACATGCTTAACAGGAAGCTTGACATCAACTGGAAGTCCATCATACTTCCCATGCTCAGACCTTTTATTTTCAGTTGGTGGTACAATTGCTGAAATAAAATGCTATGTCACAACTCACAAGTGTTTTCTCTCTCAATATTAGAGAAGAATGTGACTACATCTTGCCAAGGAGAAAAGTAAGGACTATAAATGTTTGGACAAAAAGAGCAAACCGTCAATAGCAGGATTCTCCGGTATTGCAGGCTGCACCCCCTCGATCGCTAGCCAATGGGCTACAACTGATGTGTCCAGTGGGGCTTTAGGCAGAGGAGCTTCAATAATCTGCATGACACCAACCAGGAAGAAACATTTCAAATGAATTGTTTCAAAATAAGTGGTACGAAAATTTAATAATCATTAATATTGCCCCTACCTCTTTGAAGTCTACCTCCCGATCATCGAGATAGAAGAGATCCTTATGCCCAACAGCTCTCTTAAAACGCAATGGATCACCAGAAGCAAATCCATACACAGGCTGATTGAGAACCCACAGTAATGAAACAGCAGAGTTAGTTCAAACAAAATAAGGTGTAGCAGAGGATTTAGACACTTCAATATAAAAGTATGACGAAAAATTGCATAAGGAAGGCAGTTTCACACAAACAGAAGCTAATCAAAGAGCTTGACATGCTGTGAAAATTCTAGTCAGAAAATCACATCTATGAACTGAGGAACCGATATTACAACTGTAGTAAAAACAAGTAAACAACTATGTACCAGTAAAGCCAAACCATTTTTTGCTAAAGATTTCTGAGATGGAATTTCGAGATAACAAACATATGGGATCATTGTTCAAAAAATACTTGTTCGATTGTTTACTGAACCAAATATGCAAGTGGAGGGCGTAAGTTGAATATCATTTACATATAATACCATAAAGACACTTATCAAAATCTAAAAGTTGATTGTAGTTACACGTTTTGGAAGTTCTGAACACGATTCGGAAAAAATACACGGAAAAAGAATCCTAAATTTATTAGCTACCAATTCACAAGTGCATAGTGGACCTACAAACATACATTGCAAGTATCCAGAAATTTTAGCATAGGAAGGTAATTCACCTCAACATTCCTGAGGCCCAGGGCACTGTCAACGTCATCCGCCGTCAGAACAGTCCGCTTTGCATGCCGCATACATTTAATGGATTCCTGAGGCAAAAATACAGAAAATGGGATCATCACAATGGCAAAAGAAGAAGTAAAACTGCAAGGTTTCATGAAGACTCATGGGATTATAATTTTAGCATAAATCAGCGCAAGTGGCAGAAAGGGAAAGGGAACAGACAGTATCCACAAAGAAGTGAATTATGGAAAACACTAGCTAATGAAATATCAGGCCGTAGGACACTCTTCTGTTATCAAACTCCACTAGTACTTTGACAAAATTTTGATATCCAACTAAGTTCTACATCCCTAAAGGGAAAGAATTGTATGGACTCAACTAATCAAGCAGCATAACTCGAATTATCAGTTGAAAGAAAATAAAAAAAAAAGACTTTTCCACCAGTTGTGCCAGTGGAAAAACAAACACCATCTCACTTGACAAGTTTATCCCATCATGCAGCCCTAAAAATTCCATCTCACATCATAAACAAGCACACCCTAGAATTAAAAGTACTGATTTCATACAGTTGCTCGGGAGATGGACCCAAACAAATGGCATGTACTTAGTTGGGAAAACGGTGACAATCCAAGCAATCTTGATGAGAACATACGGAAAAAGGGATGCTTCTTTTGCCCTACACCATTTTACACAACCAGTAAATTTTGGATAACTGGGAACAATTCCAGCCCACAGATTCATAGCATCACCGAAAAGTAAATGATGCTCATCGCATACACTTATTAATTAATTTGGCCGAAGCACACAACCAGCACTTAGCTCAGATGTAGCAAATCAGCAAAACATCGCTTACTGAGCTCCCCAAATTCACCTCGACTGCTAACAATTCCAAGGACATCCCTAGGGCGACGGAATCAAAACGAAATCTAGGCAAGGGGGGCGGGGCCTGACCTGCATGATCTCGCGGAGGCGGTATTCCACGTCGGGGGCGAGCGCGACGGCGACATCGGCGCCGAGGCTGGGGATGCCGACGCTCTGAGCGATGACTTCGATCGTCTCCTTGGGCACGATGCTCATCGTGCTCCTCTCGGCCCCAAATTCCCTGAACCCTAGTTTAGCACTCTCCCCCTCGCTTCTTCTCCCCCAACAAATTCCCCCGAGAGGAAAGCATTGTCAATCTCTGGCTGTTTGAATCCCGTACGTGGCTCAGGCGGCTCGGAGGGTGTCCGAACCCAGCTAGGGTTTCGGTGGGTTCTCTTCCACAAATCTCCCGCAAATCTCCACAAGTCCAGTGCGTTCCTGTGCTCCCTCGTGCTCCAGGTCGGCTGTGCAGGGCTGGGTGACGAGGGCGCTGCTCTGGGCGCGCGAGAGGCAGTACAAGGAGCTGGGCGGCGGGCGCTGGTGGCGGGGACGGGGAGGCGAAGGGAAGGGCGGCGCGGAGATCTCGCGTGTGCGCTTGGAGGTGTCTGGGGGCCAACGTGGGCTGTGGCTCCCCCTTGACTCAATTTTTTTTTTTTTTTTGCGATTCAGTAATAATCAGTTAATGGCCCATGTGTTTCTAAAAAAAAAAGCTACTGATCCATGCAAAACTTGAGTCTGGAGGCCCAAAAGTTACAGCTTGCAAAGGTCTGCTACCCTGCTTGTCTCATGACTCGTGGTCTCGTGGACTTCGAACTGCAGCACCGCTGCCACCGCCAGCCGCCCGCCCCAGCACCGCTGCCACCGCCGGCCGCCGGCCGCCCGCCCCACTGCTGCGCGGCCGCGCGCTCCGTGACTCCACTAGCCGCCCAGTCGGCCGGCGCCGGGCCAGCCGGCTGCCGTACGCCCGTCCAGTCCCCGTGCGCCGCCCTGGTGGCCTGTTGACTACTTGACTGGTGAGCGCATCTGAGCTCTGACTTCTCAGCTTAGGATTTGGACATTGGAGAATGGAGATTGGACTGTAAATTGGGCTTAGGGATAGTGTATATATTTTTTGCTATATGACTTCTACTGGTTCATTCTAGTGAACAAAAGTTACAATCATATTTTATATACTAAATGAGTACCCGTGCATTGCAACGGGGGCAACATAAATTGAATGCGGTGATTATTTGTCTACCGGATATGGATTGCATGGGATGCGGTGATTATTTGCCTGCCGGATATGGATCGCACGAGTGTTTTGGTCCTGCCGGGTAGATGTTGACAATCCGTATGTTTTAGTTGTAGAGATTGTTAATGTAGTGCTCTGTCTGGCTGAAAGGAACAATCATATGACCGTGTCCTAGCAAAAGCTGAATAACAAGTGAAAAAAGCTGGAACCTCAAGCAAAGTTTGCATGAGTAGAGAATTTATAAATCACCATCTGGCTCCTTGTTTGCCAAAAATGCAATGTCCACAAACTATATTGCCTGTCATGAATAACATACCTTAGCAATAGGTTCAGCCTAAAAATCAACAATGTTCGTTCTATATGTATGTTCGGTACTATCTATATGCATTGTGATGCCTTTTGCTTTCTCTTTTGCCATACAGGTGAGGAGCAAGTAAGCTAGCATCTTTAAACTTGCACCACTCTTATTTTAGGCCGCAGTAAAAAATCTTTCACATTGTAACTAAATTTGTTTCTAGAATCTAGATCTGTGGCAAAAAAAAATACTAAGGAGCCTTTTGCAACTGAAACTGAATAAAGCATATCTTCCAGTGTTTTGTTTCTATTCTAATTTGTAGTCATGTATACCAATTATTTTTTTTATTTTATAGTATTGCACTTGAAAATTTTGATTAGGACTACCCTTGCTTCAAATCCTAGGTCCGCCATCGCAGCAAGGTCGGTGGGTGCCAGAAGAGAAATGGGTGACTTTCACCACACTTGGTTGAAGGCTCGAACACCTCCCTCCCTTGCAGATTCACAACTGGCGCGACTTGGTAAAGATCTTCGTCGGGAATTTTCAGGGCATATACGTGCGCCCCGGGAACTCCTGGGACCTCAAGAGTTGTCGCCAAAAGCCGAACGAGTCTCTCCGAGACTTCATCCAGCGATTCTCCAAGCAGTGTACCGAGTTGCCCAGTGTCGGCGACTCAGAAGTGGTCCAGGCTTTCCTCTCCGGCACGTCTTGCCGAGACCTGGTCCGAGAGTTGGGCCGGAACGTACCAACCTCAGCGGCCGCGCCTCGACATCGCCACCAACCGCCTCGGGTGAAGAGGTCGTCAGGCCATTTTTCCCGGCAAGCACACAAAGGGAAGCGGAGGGACGAGGCCCGGGGCCTCGGCCTCCCGCTTCCCCAAGAAAAGAAAAAGGATGCCCGGGGAAGCAGGAGGCCCTCGAGGCCGATTTCGTCGTAGCCGCGGATCATAAGAATCTTGAGGCCCCAGGGCCCCCGAGTATTCGATGATATGCTTAAGAAGCCTGTCCCTTACCACGGGGCCCAATGAAGCATGCCCTCGAAGAATGCACCATGCTCTGAAGCGCTACTACGCTAAACTCGGGCCCCAACGATGATGCCGGGAAGAAAGGCGCGGCGATGGAGATAACGACAAGGACGACGGGTTCCCCGAAGTGCACAATGCCTTCATGATCTTGGCGGGCCTTGGCGTGCCTCACGGTGGCCAAACAAATAAAGAGAGCGCCGGGAGGTCTTCTCGGTCGAGGTGGCTACTCCTCGTACCTCAACTGGTCTCTCGGAAGCGATCACCTTCGATCGGGAAGACCACCCTAACTATGTCCCAAACCTGTGGCAATACCCGCATCGTCGTCGACCGATCAGCAACACCCGACTCACCAAAGTCTTCGATGGACGAAGGTAGCGGCCTCAACATCCTCTACGCCAACACCATGGAGCTCCTAGAGCTCGACTCATCCATGCGGCCCGAGGTGGTGTCGCGCCCTTTCGCGGCGTCATGCTGGAAGCGCAAGACGACCCCTGGACGCATTGACTTGTTTGTCCTGTTCGCTTGGCACTCCCTCCAACTACCGCAAGGAGATCCTCACCTTCAAGTGGTTGGGTTCAAGGGACCTACCACGCCATTACAGGGCGCCCGTGCTACGCCAAGTTCATGGCGGTCCCGAACTACACCTACCTCAAGCTCAAAATGCCGGCCCCAGCGGCATCATCACTATCGAGTCCACGTCGACGAGCATGCATACGATCTGCGATGTCGAATGCATCGAAAGCACGCCGAGGCTATCGTGGAGGCCGAGGCACTCACGTCAACCTCGACCAACTTCGAGTGGCACCGACTCCAAGCATCACGCCGGGACTTTCGAGCCCGTAGAGACCGTCAAGCTCGCCCCGGTCGACCCTAACCGCTCCAACGGCCGAACGTTGAGGGTCGCCACCCTCGACAACAAATAGGAAGCCGTGTTTCGTCGACTTTCTCCATGCGAATGCCGATATGTTACAGATGGAGTCCCTCGGACATGCCGGGCATACCGAGGGAGGTCGCCGAAAAGCACGCTTTGGACGTTCGGGCCGGCTCTAGACCAGTGAAGCAGCGCCTTCGCCGATTCGATGAGGAGAAGTGCAGGGCCATCGGCGAGGAGTTGCGAAGCTTTTGGCGGCGGATTCATCAAGGAAGTGTCCCATCCGAGTGGTTAGCTAATCCTCAGATTAGTTAAGAAGAAGAATGGAAAATGGAGGATGTGTAGACTACACGGTTTAAATAAAGCATGTCCAAAGGTTCCGTTTCCATTACCTCGAATCGATCAATCGTTGATTCCACTGCAGGATGCGAGACCCTATCTTTCCTCGATCGCGTATTCGGTTACCATCAAATCAAGATGAAAGAGTTCGACCCGACTTGCAACTTCTTTCATCACCCGTTCGCATGTCTTTGCTATGTGACCATGTCATTCGGTCTCAAAACGCATGGGCCACATACCGGTGTGCATGACCAGTCTTCAGCGAGCACATCAGGGCAAACTGTTGAGGCTTACGTGGACGACATCATGGTCAAGTCTAGAAAGGCCAGTGATCTCGTCGGCGACCTAGAGATCGCTTTCAAATGCCTCAGAGGAAAGGGCATCAAGCTTAATCCCGAGAAGTATGTCTTCGGGGTCCCCCGAGGCATGCTCTTGGGGTTCATAGTTTCAGAGCGCAGATCGAGGCCAACCCGGAGAAAGTCTTGGCCGTGACCAACATGGGGCCAATCCGAGACCTCAAGGGAGTACAGAGAGTTATGGGATGTCTTGCGGCCCTGAGCCGCTTCATCTCGTGCCTTGGCGAAAAAGGTTTACCTCTGTACTGTCTCTTAAGAAAGTCCGAATGCTTTTCTTGGACCCCCGAGGCCGAAGAAGCCCTCGCCAAGCTTAAAGCCCTGCTCACCAACCCTCCGAATCCCCGGTACTGGCTTGACCAAGGGTGAGGCCCTCTTACTCTACGCCACAAGAACGACCCAAGTAGTCGCCAAGGGTCGTAGTAGTTGAGAGGCGGGGAAGAGGCACGCTCTACCCGTCCAACGACACATTTACTTCATCGGAGGTACTTTTCAAACTAAGACACGCTACCCCCACATCCGAAGGTGATCTATGCCATAGTCTTGGCTCGACGCAAGTGCGTCACTACTTGAATCTCACCCGGTGACCGTGGTGTCATCTTTCCCTCCGGGGAGATAATCCAAAACCGGAGGCCTCGGGTAGAATAGCCAAGTGAAATTTGTTGAACTCATGGGGAGGCCTTGTCTTTTGTGCCTCGGAAAGCAATCAAATCCTAGGTCTTAGTCGATTTTGTGGCTGAATGGACCGACACCCAGCTGCCACCTACCCAAATCCAAGTAGAATGCTGGACCATGTACTTCGATGGGTCTCTGATGAAGACCGGGGCAGGCGTGGGTCTGCTCTTCATCTCTCCCCTTGGAGTACATGTGCGTTACATAATCCGGCTCCACTTCGCCGCCTCCAACAACGTAGCCGAGTACGAAGCTCTCGTCAATGGCTTGCATATCGCCATCGAGCTTGGAGTGCGGCGTCTTGACATGCGGGGTGATTCACAGCTGTCATCGACCAAGTCATGAAGGACTCGAATTGTCATGACCCCAAAATGGAGGCGTACTGCAAACTGGTACGTCGCCTTGAAGACAAGTTCGACGGTCTCGAACTC